TGCACATTATATTTGATCACTAAAATTATATACATTCATTTCTTATTGAAAAATTTGACTGAGAAATTATAGAGAATAAATTTCTAATTACCTCCCTTTATTTTCATGAAATGTTAAACTCGTAATATCTTTATAAATAATGCTTTTTGAAATTTACAATATTGATAAATCTTAATCTGAGCGTATTATTTATGACATTAAAACAGATATATATATTGAAACAATAAGAACACTTCTTTCCTGACACATTTTGTTGTTACATGTACCACGGATTTATATTACAAGGATCGGACACTTTCGTTTAGCTTAAAGTCCCGTCGCGCGCATGCGCGGAATCGGATAAAGGCGGAAAGAATGAGATGGCGGAACGCTCAGAGTGCGAAATATGACAGATTTCCACTAGAGTATGTGGTGTTATTGCAGCTTTGTGAAAAATCAAACACATATGAATGTATTGATACAGTATTATTTTATGTCGCTAAAGTATTAATATATGAAAGTATGCCGATAGAACGCTGCAACGCTTACTTAAAAAGTACCTATTTTAAAAAAAAATCGTCTATTGTTTAGGCGTACTCTCTACATTTTGACGCCCTTTTACTTAAAGCATTAAATTATTACCGCGATTCAGATTAAGATAATTATTTTTTACATGATTTAATGGTGGCATTGCAAAAAATTGTTTCTTGATTGCTTAAATACTTTTAAAGAAATTCATGTTTGAAATATAAATCCGTGCATGTACACACGACCGATATGATATGTAGATTCGTAGTTTTTCCGGGATGTCGTGCCCACATGCGTAAGCTGTGTCAAATTTGGCATTTCTACAAAGATAACAATGCCAAACACTCTCACTGTCTACAACATACCAATCGTACAATTTTTGCGAATTGGCTTTCATAAATTTTCGCGTAGAATTTTTGCGTCGGAATCAGAAACTTTCTTTTACCTCTAGGTTTGGGCATTTCGCCCTGTAGCCATGACGTGAGCGACATGACATTTTTTTAACTAATGTTAACGGACTGAAATCATTCAAAACTATGATTAAGTTTTTAATCCGGTCGCTGATCATTAATGAAATTGATAATTTTTAATTGACTAACAGTTGTGATAGCCGTGAAAAACCCATTGCAGATCGCCTTTACTCCGGTTAAACACCGCGTGTATATCAATTATGGAAGATTTGCACATGTTTAGATGATCGGGAAAAAACAATCTATAATTATCGCCAAATCCACACAATTATACCCGTTTCAGGCCAATGCTCTCATTATTTACTGTTTAGAGTAGGCAGTCTATCGCTTTGCATACAGGTAGAAGGGTAGTATAAAGCGACGCTCTGATTGGATAATGATAATTAGCAGTCGTCATATGGGCGTATACAATCTCTACTCTTTACATCGCCAAGTAATTACTCTTTGGGAATTAAGATTTTTTCGGCGATGTTGACTTCTCTTTGATCAATTGTGAGAGCGAAATGGAAATATACACGGCGAAGTTTTCGCCTGAATCGCCCTTCCGGATGAGCCCTGTACATGTTTGATCTATTTTTTGTTGATATGAAAACAAATTTTCAAAAAATCTTTCTCAAGTCAGTGGCCTGTGGTCAGTACAATTCTAACTACCTTAATGTAATTTGGTAAAAAGGATGTTTTGAAGCAGTTTTTGCCAAAGAAAAGTTTTTGTTATTTGAAAATTATTAAAAAGTTTACCAACTTTCAAAAAATCATCACATTCTGTTCTGCTCCTATACTACTAGGTGACTATATGCTTGTTTGTTGAAAAACAAAGTTATAACAAAAATATTTATCAAGTGTCGGAGTTATCTATGTGTGGGATATATAGAAATCTATATATTTTTTAAAATGGTTTGATTTCCTTTAAAATAAACACATGTAGTCTCTATACAGACAAGCCAATAAAAGCCCTGTATCAATACGGGGCTGTAATGCAACACATTAAAAAATAACGTTAAAACAACAACTGTGATAAGAGATTATCATAAATGGCGGACGGTATTTTCCAAACTCTAACACAGTCACAGTGGTCCCTGTTTGGTTCGCTACACAGAGCAATTAGCCAATTAAATTACTGTTGGGAGTTTGGAGATTTTCAGAAATATTCGAAGCACTTGACGATAGGTTAAACACCACCAATTTATTTGTTTCTGTTTACAGTATAAAATACAGGTCTGCATTTCCTTACTATTTTCAAAGTGCAAGAAAGATCTGGTGATATACTGGACATGTTATGCTTTATAATAAAACATAAAAGCTTTCCGCGACATAGGTGGCAATTAATTTCATATTATGAATAAGGCAAAGTCTCATAGCAAGCTCTTTTATGGAACACTACATTTTTTTATTAAGCCCAATGGCAATTTTTACTACATATTAGACTTAGTGATTACTAATATGATAGAATTCTTCACAATTAAGGACAGATGATTCACTCAACACTACACACTATTTTTATACCCCCGCACAACAAAGTTGTAAGGGGGGTATACTGGAATCAGCTTGTCCGGCCGGCTGTCTGGCCGTCCGGCTGTCCGTCGGTTTTTCCTTGTCCGCCCAATAACTTAAGATTTCTTTGACCCACAGTCTTCATATTTAGCATGGAGATTTGTCATGATTAGTAGATGACCTCTAGTGATTTTGAGGTCAAAGGTCAAGGTCACAGGGGCCTTGACTTCAAAAAGTATGTCCGCCCAATAACTTAAGATTCCTTTGATCCACAGTCTTCATATTTGGCATGGAGGTTGGTCATGATTAGTTGATGACCCCTATTGATTTTGAGGTCACTAGGTGAAAGGTCAAGGTCACAGGGGTCTTGCCTTCAAAAAGCTTGTCTGCCCATTAACTTAAGATACCTTTGACCCACAGGCTTCATATTTGGCATGGAGGTTAGTCATGATTAGTAGATGACCCCTATTGTTTTTTGAGGTCACCAGGTCAAAGGTCAAGGTCACAGGGGCCTTGACTATAAAAAACTTGTCCGCCCAATAACTTAAGATTCCTTTGACCCACAGTCTTCATATTTGGCATGGAGGTTAGTCATGATTAGTAGATGACCCCTATTGTTTTTGAGGTCACCAGGTCAAAGGTCACAGGGGCCTGGAATTCAAATAGCTTGTCCGCCCAATAACTTAAGATTCCTTTGACCCACAGTCTTCATATTTGGCATGGAGGTTAGTCATGGTTAGTAGATGACCCCTATTGTTTTTGACGTCACCAGGTCAAAGGTCAAGGTCACAGGGGCCTTGACTATAAAAAGCTTGTCCGTCCAATAACTTAAGTTTCCATTGACCCACAGTCTTCATATTTGGCATGGAGGTTAGTCATGATTATTAGATGACCCCTAATGATTTTGAGGTCACCAGGTCAAAGGTCAAGGTCACAGGGGCCTTGACTATACAAATCTTGTCCTCCCAATAACTTTAGATTCCTTTGACCCACAGTCTTCATCTTTGGCATGGAGGTTAGTCATGATTAGATACTTATTGATTTTGAGGTCACTGGGTCAAAGGTCAAGGTCACAGGGACTTTGACTTCAAAAAGTTTGTCCGCCCAATAACTTAAGACACCTTTGACCCACAGTCTTCATATGTGGCATGAAGGTTAGTCATGATTAGTAGATGATCCCTATTGATTTTTAGGACACTGGGTCAAAGGTCAAGGTCACAGGGGCCTTGACATAAAAAGCTTGTCAGCCCAATAACTTAAGATTCCTTTGACCCACAGTCTTCATATTTGGCATGGAGGTAAGTCATGATTAATAGGTAACCCCTATCGAATTTTAGGACACTTGGTCAAAGGTCAAGGTCACAGGGGCCTTGACTAAAAATGTTTGTCCTCCCATTAAAGTAAGATTTCTTTGACCCACAGTCTTCATATTTGGCATGGAGGTTGATCATGACCATAAGGTGACCCCTATTGATTTTGGGGTCACTTGGTCAAAGGTCAAGGTCACAGGGACCTTGACAAAAAAAGCTTTTCCCCTCAATTGCTTAAGAATGCCTGTCCGCAGTGTATTGATTTTGACATTTTCACATTTGAAGCATGTAGAATACATAACTTAGCAATGCACTGGCTTAGTAACCTCAGATTTGGCTGGGAGGATGTCCTTGAGCTCTAAATGGCCACTGTTGATTCTGACAAAGTGGTATGCGGGGGTATTCACGCCATGACAGTGGCAGTTCTAGTTTACTTCTGAAAACAGCCATTTCATGTTTATTTGATATCTAAACTGAATTTGAGTCATAAACATAAATTCACTTTGAATCAAATTTTGGGAAAAAGTATCCAAAGTGGAAATTCCATTTACGGGAAAAGAAAATAGTGAATCATACCAGAAGTTGATATTGACTTGGCCTCTTTTTTTGTTTATTCAATATTTTATGAATAAGTGGCATAAAAATAAGTTGTTATTTTAACTGTAAGTTTATTATCAAATGTTGTTCGTGAACACACCAAGAAAAGGTACTTTTACAATTCTGTATTAGTATAATACTATTGATGGTAATCAGCAAATTTTTCTATATGTTAATTTTGGATTGCAACCATAATAAGACAGGGAATGAGATTCCTGGCATTCTTTTTGAATATTAGGGCAGGTCATCAGATCATTCTGAATTCTGGCATACTTAAAAAAGATTAGGAAAGGGAATCAGATTAAACTCCAAATGAAGAGCAGACCAAATGAAGGTCAAACTCATTACCAATAATTTTACTGTACCACCAGCAAAAGTTTTCAAAACCATCACTTACTAAGTCACCAGATACTTGTATACTTTCTTTCTATTTAATTTTACATACAAGTTAATCTTCATGTCATTTTCATAGTAAGTACATGTACTTGTCTAACAACAAATTATTATACATTACCCTTCCTGTGTATAGGTACTAGAGGAGAATTAAAATTTAAAAAATATAGATATTGTCTTAAAGTGTTAAAATATTGTTTGCAAGAAAAGCTTATAGCTGTTTTGAATGATAGTTTTAAAATCTTATTTCATTTTTTCAGGCCCCAACATATCATTTGATATTTGAAGCACTTCTGATAATATGGATCTTAAAGCTTGTGTTTTCCAAATCCTATGCACCAAACAAAACAATTCTTACAGAAAAGGTAAGTTTGCGAGACAGCTCAAACTTTTAATGATGATTGTATCTTGGAAGAACTAGACACCGCATATTTACTGATGAAAGGATGGTATCGATGCAAATTTGTACAGTGAGTGACTGAATCATGTGTATTTCTGAACATACTGTCAAATCCTCAATGGATATATTCTGGTTATAATCTTTCTTTGTATGGAATTTCATTATGAAAAATTCTGGTCCCAAACTGATTAGGGATCTGTGATGCCATAATGTGGGCAACTGGAACATGTGGAAGCATAGTAGACAATTGTCCTGGGAATATTATTTAACCTAAAGTGGAGAATTAATAGTTTGTAACTTGCAAAGAAATTGATAATTTTACGAGTTAGTTACCCAGGAAAGGCATTAGGTGAATTGACTGAGACGTAATCAAAATATGTGTTAAAATAGGGCAACGCGAAACTTGATAAGACTATATAACAACTTTTTTGTTTTCGCCTTAAATTTTGTAGTAAGCACATACATTGTATTAGCTAGTACATAATTTTTTTGTATATTTGTATAGCAAGAGGACATGCTTAATTTAAGAAACTGAAACTATAAGGTTTATATTTTCAGGAAAAAGAAGAGTTGATACAAGAATGGCAGCCAGAACCCCTTGTACCAGATGTACCTGATGATCATCCTATACTTCAAGCCATGGACAACAATATTATCTCGGGGTATGTATAGATAAGTCACAACATATACTGTACTCATGTAAAATCAAGCTGTTCAAATTTAGACTAACAGTAACAGCAAAATTAATAACCTTGCCTGTATTTCCAATAAGCTAAGAGGAAATCTAAATATTGAAAAGGTTGATTACTTTAAGGTATTAGCACCCTAATGCATTACCTCCGCTTTGAAGAGTATTCAAATAGGCTAGAACTACTGTTAACTACATTGAAAATGAGGGCCATGGGTTCAATCCCCAGAAGGGTCAACTTTTTTTTTCTTTCTTTTTTTCTTTTAACATTATTTATGTATCTCTCATGTCCCATTTGGAAAGAAAAAAGTGTTTAATTTTGATTTTTTTAATTTATATAGGTATTTATTGGCTAAATTATGCTAAATCTAGTAATAAATATGGTACCTGATATTTTCAAAGTGTAATATAATCAAAACTAGACGGTAAAAGTATTTCATATTTTACAAGATCAACCAATATACTTTTTTAAAAATTTAGGGAAACTTTGAAAACAGGCACTCATTTGGGTAAATTTTAAGAATTTTTTTAATTAGGCTCCCTAAGTAGAAAAATGGTCAGACACGTGGTAAAAATGGGTGGGGTAGGGTAACATTTTTATACAGATTTCATAAATTTTAAGTAGAAACCATAATTTTGCTTATTTGGATTGTTAGCTGAATGGTACTATTTGTTTCTTACCAAAAATTAATGGGAAAACATTTTTCATTAGAATGTTATTGCAGATTATTTAAAGGTTCCTACTTTCTAAAAAAGGGCCCTCATAACATCCTAGCTTGAGTTCAGAAAAGTGGTCATAACTTGATTTCCGTACGGTAAACTTTGTTTAAATTTTGCATACAGGTGTACTTTAAGGTATACATCTGACTTATGATGTCACTTTTTTAGTTCCTGATAGTGCCCATTAGGGTCCTAATACCTTAAGCTTAACAGATTGAATATGTTACATAACATACTTATATTTTTAGCAGTAAAATAATGAATTGGCATAGGAATCAATGGGTAGTATTTTGCATTTGCTGAGCATAAGTGAAATAAAATATTGCAACCTCATTTTTATCTCAGCTATTTAAAGAAAGGGAGGGCTATTTTTTACCCCCCCCCCCCCAGCATTTGCATCAGCATCACTTAGTTTTTGTTTGCTAGAAGGTATCTCCAAAACTACTGAAGGGAATTGGTGGAAACTTCTGTGATTATCTTACATGATGGGCACAGGTCCCGTATGTTTGTTACCTTTTTACAGTGTAATGGCATTATGCCCCTTTAGTTACTGTCAAGCACAGAGAATTGTCAAATATCTTACAGAGAGCTCTTGTTATACAAAAGCAACAGGTCATACTAGTTGAAAGCTCACAGAGCCAAAAATATGATCACAATCATGTTCTTTAATTTTTCCAAAACTTCATTTTTGAATTTTGATGTCCTGTAACTCTGGTTACAGTTTCCAAAATGTTACTCATTGACTATATTGTATACTTGTACATGTAGCTGAATCATAATTTATTTCTTTTGCATTTTGAAATGTATTACAGGTACATGTATAAGGTTTGAGTATTTTGTATGGAAGGCAAAATGCCACTTTGTTTATATTTTGCTACTTTTATTACAAAAATTCTTTCACATTTAGTGCTAGTAGTAGCCCCTACTTTATTCTGATGATAATCGATAAACAAACTTTTATTCCATTAATATTGTAAAAGAATAAAACATATTGTCCTACCTAAAGAAGGAAAAATGTACTCATTTAATGTGCCTTTAACCCTTTCACTGCCATAGGGACGGCTTATGCCGTCCCTGTTATTTTGGGCGTATTTGCCATATGGACGGCTTTTGCCGTTTCTATAATAATCATAATAATAATAATAAATTAATAATAATAATAAAAATAATAATAAATATAAAGAAAATTATACCATCGACAATAATTATTATTATACTAGCATATTTGGAAACATATATAATTATTATAATACTAATAACAAATAATAGTAATAATTATATTAATTAATAATATAGTAATTTCTTAGAAAACCCTCTGGCAAATAGGTGATCAATAAAACAAAAACCCTCTGGCAGCGAAAGAGTTGATAAAAACCTTTTATTAGTGTTTGATATAATGACATAAGAAATGTCTGTAATGTTTCAGTCGTCCAGACAAGATAATGACCATTAATGGAAAATCTGTGATGAACATGGCTTCTCTCAACTTCCTAGGTCTCCTTGGTGACGAGTCTATTGAGGTAAGGCTTCTTTCACATGTATATTGTTAAATGGTACCATTATATTTACATCTTGACCTGTATAAATGGAAAATCTGTGATGAACATTGCTTCTCTCATATTGTTAAATGGTACATTTATATTTACATGTTGACCTGTATTAAAAGACCACCTCTGAACAAAACCCTCATGTATAATCTGTATCATATATGATTTCAGGATGATATGAAATTCCTTCAAACATATATTGTTTGATGATAAAATTTTCATTTTCAAATAACACCTGTACTAAAAGACCACCCCTGAACAAATGCCACAAATATCTTATGATTTACTATTTCTTAAAAGACAATCTTATCAAATGGTAATAATTTTATGTTTAGACTAAATTTGGTTTTTTACTTGCTGAAAATGATAGAATGAATCATATTGTAATACAGCTTTAAAAAAAGAATAATTTTAAAGGAACTTGTTTGCTTTACATCAAAAATTGCCAATTTTTTGTTTGTATTTGATGAATAAAAATTATATTTATAAGAGAGAAATTTGATTGTCTGTTTTGAAGCCTTTCTGTTTGCCCCCACCTATTGCATATATCAAATATTGGATGTTTTTATCATGTATAACAAATTAATTATTTAATATGTTAAGTTTTTCATGTTATTATTCTGAATACAAGTCTTCTGTTATTGGTTGAATCCCCTGTTATAGATATAAAAAAAATTTTTTTATAATACATTATCTTCATTTTGTATTGTTGATTTTTACAGGATGCTGCACAGAAGGCATTAAGTAAATATGGTGTTGGATCATGTGGTCCCAGAGGATTCTATGGAACTATGGGTAAATTCTCTGTTTCTTGCCGAAAGTTTGTTCTGTAATGTAATAACACCAATGTTCAGGTCATTGAAATATATCTTTAAGCAATGCATGATAAATATGTAGCTGTATTAACTTAGTACTTGACTCGTAATGTGAGCGGCGTCTATATGGTAGAGTGGCTAGGTCATTGACTTAAAATCACTCGCCCCTCACCGCCTTGGGTTCACATCCTGGCAGGGACTTTAGTCTTTAGATTCTTTCATGTGAGGAAGCTTTTCATTTACCTTACAGAATGTGGATAGTTCTATTCAGGTGCCAGCTTGTGTCTGAAATAATGCACAGAGATACCTTAGATATTCCTCCATCAGCAAAGCTAGAAAGTTGCCATATGATTTATAACATGAGCTTGCAATGTTACATTGATATAACGTTACTTTATATATTATAGATGTACACTTGGAGCTTGAGGAAAGACTTGCAAAGTTTATGAACTGTGAAGAAGCCATTCTTTATTCATATGGATTTGCAACAATTGCCAGTGCTATACCAGCTTATTCAAAGAGAGGAGATGTCATCTTTGTGTAAGAAATAAATATATTTCACTTATTATTAAGTGCTAGACACAATGGGAGATATATGCTGCAAGAATTTTGATAGTCTGGGATGTATATCAGTGAAGGCTGACACTAAACTGTAAATTACTCATTTTCAATATTTTGATACTGATATCACTTATACTGTCAACTGACAGTACCATTTTCAGGGCTAATCAAATCTTTTACACTGTTTTGGGATTGTCTTTGTGATGCAGGTCCCTATATTCTGTCTTTTTAAAGCTGAGGTTCAAAAAGATTTCAACAGAACCAAATAGCATTTAATTTGTAACTTTAATTCATTCCTAGAAAAACAGACAAAAAAAAATTATTAAGTTTATTTGTATTTATTTTAGCTCATTTCCTTTGGAAGCTATGAGCTTATTGAAACACTCTGGAATTCTTTCCTAGAACCAAATAATACTAAGCAATGAGTGTAAAATGTCTTGCTCTTTGAAACAACAGCTTGCCCTTGAAGGAGTTTGAACCTGCAAAGCCAGCAATACTTAGATTACTGGTACTAGTCCCAATGCATTAACCACTCGCCTATGCCGTATATAAAAAGATCATTTGAAAATGTAACAATATATGAGCTGCGCCATGACAAAACCAACATAATACGTTTGCTACCAGCATGGATCCAGACCAGCATGCGCATCCGCAGTCTGATCAGGATCCATGCTGTTTGTTATCAGTTTCTCTACTTGTAATAGGGTTTGTAAGCGAACAGCATGGATCCTGACCAGACTGCGTGAATGCACAGTCTGGTCTGGATCCATGCTGGTCGCAAACAAACTATGTTGGGTTTTTCATGGAGCGGCTCAATTATAATACATTGATTGAAAGCATTTAACATAATGTTATTAAACATTACAGAGATGAAGGTGTATGTTTTGCCATACAGAAAGGTTTGGTAGCATCTAGAAGTCATATCAGATATTTCAAACATAACGACATGGAAGACTTAGAGAGACTTTGCCTTGAACAGCAGAAAGAGGATAAAAGGGTAAATTTTTTGCTCAGTATAACTTAGATCTTTGTGTCCAGTCTAGACCTGTTAACTAGTAAGGGGAGAAAAATATTAGTGTGTAAAAAGGTTGGTCCCTAGAGCCACTGACGGTACTAAATACTGAGGGTCCCAGGTTCTAGCCCCGGTCATACTGCACTTTTTTTTTCACCCTATGAGAGTGACATTTGTATGATATATGTCTTAGTATATAAGGCCAGTTCATAAAATTGACTTTTGTTTCGCACTTCGTGCCAAATAGTACTGAAGATGTGTTACTTATTGTCCATTAAATGTCTGTCCTTTTAAAGTTTGTAATATTTTCACAGCATTTCATATTTGACTTTGCTAATTTCAACCAAACTCTGCAGCAATTATTTTATGAATGATTTTTAGCTTGTCTGTTTTGAAGAAAAAGTTAAGTTGTTATAAATTGTTGCATCAAGCTCTAACACTGCATGCCATGCTCTTGTTTTAACAGTTAAAATAACTTCTATGCAAGAGTGACATTACTGATTTGAAAAAGAATGTAAAAATACATGTATGTCTATGACTTTTTGTAGCTTGTTCTACCCAGTTTGTCTTTATGTTGCACAATAATTTCATATAGCGTCTACCCTTTAAGAGAGTCTTCAGGTGAGGTTTAAGGTACAATAAAACAGAAATGATCTGTTTTTAGCTCACCTGTCACAAAGTGACAGGGTGAGCTTTTGTGATCGCTTTTCCTCCGGCGTCCGTCCGTCGTCCGTCCGTCCATCGTCCGTAAACTTTTGCTTTAAATGACATCTCCTCATAAACCACTGAGCCAATTTCATCCAAACTTCACAGGAATGTTCCTTTGGTGGTCACCTTTAAAAATTGTTCAAAGAATTTAATTCCATACAGAACACTGGTTGCCATGGCAACCGAAAGAAAAAACTTTAAATATCTTCTTTTAAACAACCCTAAGAGCTAGAGCTTAGATATTTGGCATGAAACATCTTCTAATGAGTGTTTACCAAGTTTGTTCAAATAAAAGCCCTGGGGTCAAAATTGGCCCCGCCCCAGGGGGTCATAGATTTTCCCTATATGCATATAGTAAAAACTTAAAAAATCTTCTTTTAAAGATCCCAAAGAGCTAGAGCTAAGATATTTGGCATGAAACATCTTCTAGTGAGTGTCTACCAAGTTTGTTCAAATAAAAGCCCTGGGGTCAAAATTGGCCCCGCCCCTGGGGGGTCATTGATTTTCCCTATATGCATATAGTAAAAACTTAAAAAATCTTCTTTTAAAGAACTGTAAGAGCTAGAGCTTAGATATTTTGCATAAAACATCTTCTAGTGAATGTCTACCAAGTTTGTTCAAATAAAAACCCTGGGGTCAAAATTGGCCCCGCCCCAGGGGGTCATTGATTTTCCCTATATGCATATAGTAAAAACTTAAAAAATCTTCTTTTAAAGAACCTTAAGAGCTAGAGCTTAGATATTTGGCATGAAACATCTTCTAGTGAATATCTATCAAGTTTGTTGAAATAAAAGCCCTTGGGGTCAAAATTGGCCCCGCCCCAGGGGGTCATTGATTTTCCCTACATGCATATAGTAAAAACTTAAAAAATCTTCTTTTAAAGAACCCAAAGAGCTAGAGCTAAGATATGTAGCATGAAACATGTTCTAATTGGTGTCTACCAAGTATGTTCAAATAAAAGCCCTGGGGTCAAAACTAGCCCGCCCGGGGGTCATTGATTTTCCTTATATGTGTATAGCAAAAACTTAAAAATTTTTCTTTGAAAAAACCCAAATAGCTAGAGTTTAGATATTAAGCATAAAACATCTTTAAGTAAATATCTACAAAGTTTGTTCAAATAAAAGCCCGGGGGTCAAAACTGGCCCTGCCCCAGGGGTGTCATTGTTTTTAACTATATGTGTATAGTAAAAACTTAAAAAATCTTCTTTTAAAAAACCCAATGAGCTAGAACTTAGATGTTTAGCATGAAACATCTTCTTATGGGTATCTACCAAGTTTGTTCAAATAAACAAATAAAAGCCCTTGGGTAAACATTGGCCGGGGGGGGGGGGGGGGGGGGGGGGGGGGGCTATATACAGGTGAGCGACCTCAGGCCATCATGGCCCTCTTGTTTACCTTTTGTTTATGTTTTGTCAATTTCTGTGATTTTATTATATGCATTTTAAAACTTAAATAATTATTTTTATTTTAGCTGCCAAAGAAAGCCAAGGTTACAAGGAGATTTTTGGTTGTGGAGGGACTTTATGCTAAACATGGAGATTTGTGCCCCCTACCTAAACTTGTAAGTTTTCTTCTAATAGTATTAAAAATGAACTATTTATAGATTCTAAGTTTTTGTTGTCTTTATTTTGTTTTTTGTTGTTGTTTGTTTTAAACACAAAAGTGATAATATGTGGCTCTCAGTGAGTGATGAAAGTTTAAATTAATGCACAGAGTTAATTTTATAGATGTCTTGATAACTTAAGTGAAAACGTGCAATAAGGACTTTAAACTGGTAATGATAGAAAATATTCACTTGACGCAGATCATTAGCACTAAGTATGTTATGAAATTTTAAATTGCAGATATTGTATGATATTTGTAATTTGATTTTATCTTAACTGTCCTAGAAGCAATAATGACATGTCTTAAACCCCTTTGTGGCTGAGATGTTGCCTTAAATTGGTTGAGATATCAGAATTGTAGTCACCGTTTATCCCTGTGTGATTGTATGAGGGGACTAAATAGGTTCGACGGTTGGATTAAATGAGTCTATGCATCTCTTAGCTCCAGCAGGTGAGGTGGTTTTGACCCCTGGTGTTGCTTTAAGTTTGTAACACCCAAGGTTAGCCAGAATCATCTTTTCTGTTCCGGCGTTATATAACCTAATTTGAGTTGGTGCGCCGTAAAACCAAACAAAAGAAACAGACATGTCTTATATACATGTAAAATGTAACCAGTACAGAGCCAGATCAGCTTGTACATCAGTACATTCTTTCTAGACTATTTATTATAACATGTGACTGCTTCAATTAAGTATTTTAATATCAAAATGATTTAACCCTTCCATTTCTGGAACCAAAAGTGATAAGATTTTGCCACCAGTATAGAGCCAGGCCGCATGCACGGCCATACAGTCTGACCTGACCCTTTTCTATTGGCTGACTATTCACTTACTTAAAATTTCAATCTTGATATTCCCAAAATAAATAATGGGAAGTCCTGAAAATGGAAGCTTGGCAAGTCCATTTAAGAAAATAGGTAGTTTAAAGAATCAAAAAGGGTTCAGTTCATTAAAAAAATTAAACTGTGGTAATCATTTACTATTTTTAGGTTGAGATGAAGTGGAAATACAAACTTCGTATATTTGTTGAAGAAAGTTTTTCATTTGGTGTGCTGGGTAAAACTGGAAGAGGAATAACTGAACATTTTGGCGTCAGTGTAAGTAACATTTGAGAACATTTTTGTTTTTGTAGTTATGTTTAAACTGACCATTCTAAACATATTTGCAAGGTATAGATCATTTTCAAGCATTTGTTTGTCTGGTTTGTTTTTGTAAAGGAGAAATAACAAAAATTATGTGAAGAAACAATTTAATTCTAAGAAGTATTTTTTAAAAAATGAACAGATTTTTGATAGTAATAAATTAAGTGATTTAATAAAAGAATCGATTTTTGAAAATTGCTGTATAAGGTGCGATAAGATAAATCACTGAAGTTAACCATATATTTGTCAATATAAAAAAAAACTACATATATACTGTATTTTAGCTCAACAGAGCACAGAGTGCCCAAGGTTGAGTTATTTTTATACTGCTGTGTTTATTGTCAGTCTTCCATTGTTAACAGTTTTACTTAAACAATATCTCCTTCTTAACCACTTGACCAATAATGATGAAACTATTCAGGAATGATCCTTTGGTTGTCCTCAATGTAAATTGCTCATATTGTTCTGGTAGACTAAACAAGGAATATCCTGGTAATATTAATCTCAGTGTTAACCACATCCTCTTGTGTGTGATTAAGGGCCATTATGGCCCTCTTGTTTTTTCCTGTCATGAAATGATATGCATTTTAGTCATAGGGCTTATAATTTTATATGACTAAATTCATTATGGCCCTCTTGTTTTGTCCTGTCATGAAATGATATGCATTTTAGTCATAGGGCTTATAATTTTATATGACTAAATTCACAAAACCAAATAATCTGAATGATTGAATATTACACTTGTCATTGTTTTAAATGGAATAAAAGGTTTATTTATATACACAGATTGATGAGATAGACTTGATGGCAGCATGTTTAGAAAATGCTATAGGAGGCGCTGGAGGCTTCTGTTGTGGAAAGAAATATATTGTTGATCATCAGGTAATAATACATTATCATGTTTAATCTGTTGTTGTAATTGTATGATAGTCACACTTTTATTTACTAAATTGATTTTTGTTGAGCGCGCTTACTGTGAGCTTGACATAGTTACCAAATAAATATATAGCTGGAAAAAAGAATGATGTGATGCCTTTTCCAATTTACGTTGCAATTGTTAATTAGTAAAACTTTAACAAAAATTGAAGAAAAATATCTACTTGTTTCACCCGTTAAAGGGATCTTTAAGATAATGATGTTAAAGGAACTCCACTGAGGTTTAAAAGCCTAAAAACATAACATTTGAATTTCTTACATAAATGAGCTGGAGCACTTTAAACAGAAATATATGCAAAGATAGTTAAAAAATATACTTTGAAATATATTGAAAATCGTATTTTTATGGTTTTCTTAGCCCGATTTGAGTGAAAAGCGTTTAAACGATTTTCATTTTCGGTCATTTTTTTACAATTTGAATAATTATTCTGGAAAAACGAAATGCGCTAATGATCTGAAATTTTGCACAAGGATTAGTGGCCTAAACCTACATCAAATGGTACATTTATCTGGAAAAAATATTTTCAGGCCCGTAAAAACCTCAGTGGAGTCCCTTTAAGGCATCGCTTCATTCTTTTTTCCCACCATTTTTATCTGTACTGTTTGAAACTTTACATTTTGAATATAAATATATATATATATGTTTTCAGAGGTTGTCCGGGTTAGGGTACTGTTTTTCGGCATCACTACCACCAATGCTGGCATCAGGAGCCATACAGTCACTCAATATTATTGAAAATGATCCTTGTAAGTGAACTTAGATACTTTAAATTTTTCTTTACTTTATTGTGTCATTATTTGGTGAAGATAATACTGTGTAGTAAATCATGATACACACATGTAATGTGATATTTGAAAACGGACTTCTTATCCCTTACTAAGCTGAATATCATAAATGCTCTTGCCCATCTTTCAATTTGGACCAAATTATTAGTCCCCTACCGGTTTACCGGAGGGGACTTTAGGTTTACCCTCCGTCCGTCTGTCCGTCCGTCTGTCCATCTGTCCGTCCGTCTGTCTGTCAGTCCGAGCAGACGAGAGCTACATTATGAGGTTTAGGTTTATGTACAGGCACTCTGTATGGGGTTCATTCCGTAGAGACATGTATTATGTGGTTAAAAATGCTCTTATGGGGTTAAAAAAATTTGCTCTTGTGGGGTTAAGAGATCAAAGGAATAACCCCACAAACACGTCTGCTAAGTACGACCGTCAGTCCGTCCGTCCACAAAACTGGATCCCGCGATAACTTGAAAAGTACTGAAAACATTTTTATGAAACTTGGTATATGGATAGATGGCAGTATGGAGATCATGCACATTTTTTTATTTTCTTCCTATGTTGAAAATTCTGGTCGCTATGGCAACAAATAGGCTGAAAATAAGGCAAATTTTACACATAAACTGGACCCAGTGATAACGCAAACAGTACTGGAAATATTTTTATGAAACTTGACATATGGGTAGATGGCAGTCTTGAGATTATGCATGTCTTTTTCTTTTCTTCCTATGTTGAAAATTCTGGTTTTTATGGCAACACATAGACTGAAAAAAAAGGCAAATTTTACACATAAACTGAATCCAGTGATAACTCAAAAAGTACTGGAAATATTTTTTATGAAACTTGACATATGGGTAGATAGCAGTCTTAAGATTATGCATGTCTTATCTGTTCTTCCTATTTTGAAAAAATGTCTGTTGATTTGGCAACAAATAGGCTTAAAACATGGCAAATATAACAATATTTGTGATTAGTCAAAAAGAGCTGAAAATTTTTATGAAATAGCATCTTTAATTCAAGAGTTATCTCCTCTTTAAGAATTTTGCTTTTAAAATGTTATATTTTGGTAACAGAATGTTTCAAATATTAACTTTAGAGTGTCCTTCAGTCCGTTTGTCTGTCTGTTCATAAAAACTGTTTCCTGTGATCACTTTTAAAGAACTTTTCCAACAAATTTACTTAAAATAGAGATAATTGAAACATTAGTGAATGGCCAATGGCCCTTCAGAATGTTGATGGGGTTCTAACCGGTAGGGGACTTATGGATTGCTTGCAATACTATGATAATTGCTTGTTCATCATATTTTGGGAAAATTTCAAAATATGTATAGCAAATACTGCAGACCATGATCAGATGGCACAGATGTACTGGCTGATCTTGGTCTGCACTGGTCACATGGGTAGATTCAATTGCTGCAAGCAGATTTAAGGTTAGGAAAGAGTTATAAAGATTACATGCATTATAATGATGAGTGTAGACAAGATTATTTATATAAATACAAATGTTTTATATATTGTAGCAATGATGACAAGGTTGCAGCATAATTGTGAACAAATACATGAACTACTCTCAAAGTAAGTTGGAATGATATTGTAATACAAAAACTGTTCAGAATATTTCCATGAATTCAAAATCATTGGTTTCATATTGTTTTCATATTGCGTTAAGTGGAGCATCTGTGGTCGAGTGGTTTACTTTGCTGACTTCAAACCACTTGCTCCTTATATCTGTGGGTTCAAATCTCGACAGGGACTTTGGATTCTTTCATGTGAGGAAGCTATCCATCTAGCTAACGGAATGTCGGTGGTTCTACTGAGGTGCCCGTTTGTGCCTAAAATAATGCATTGAAGGGCTCCTGAGGTTTTCCTCCACCAGTAACGCTGGAAAGTCACTATATGATCTATACTGTGTTGGTCTGACTTGAGACCAATCAAAAAATATGTATATATATATATATATATATATATATATATATATATATATATATATTATATATATATATATATATATATATATATATATATATATATTATATATATATTACATTAACATGTCAAAATTAACAGTAATGTTGTGGGATATGAGTTGCTTAAAAAAGTTTTACATTTAGGCTAGACCTAAACTCTCAATGATTTTCTAACAGTATTAAAATGTATTTTTTCCTCAATTTGTCATTGCCTAAAGTGTTCAATATTTCAAGTGCCGTCAGCAGTAGAGTTAGTATGGTCATCATCTTTATATCATTTCCCACTGACTGCTGTTGGTTGGAATCATTTCAGTACTTTATATTATTTTAAGAAACGAAGCTATCCAGCTTCCTTGTAAACGGTCATTATTTGCTGTCACTGAATTTTGTGCCTAATACCATTATGGGTTTTAATCCTTACAGGAACTTTAAATTTTTTAAAATTAGTAAGCCAAACAACAAGGTTTAGGCTGACTTAGATGTGCACAGAGATGCATGAGGTGTCTTTTCTCAAAATAAAGCTGCATTTTTACACAGAATTTACTTTCAGTGCATTGAATCCTAACCTGTTGAATTCTTATTATCAGATTAATGGATTACAATAAGAATTTCACCATAACACATTTGATAACTAAAGAACATTTATCAATATTTGTGGTGTATTTAGGAAGCTTTAAGCTTAAAGACACACTCTCAAATCTGATGTATGAACCAGCAAGAATTGAACAATAAGAGTAAAGTTTCTTGTTCAAGGAAACAACAGCTTGTCCCTGAACAACTTAAATGGCAAATATTCCTTTGATTACTAGTCCACTGTGTTAACCACTCCACCACATTGCCATGAAACAACAAAGTTGCCATGTTAACTTTTCCAGTACCTCTGAGATTAGAAACGAATGCAAAAACTTTTTAAATGTATCTCTAATAGTACGTATATGAAAGAAAATGTAAAATAAAACATTGTGTACAGGATATTTTCTGTTTGTATAGGATTGAAGGTATGAGGGTATTGGGAGATAAAGTAGCTCCTATCAAACATCTTAGTCTATCTGAACTCAGTGATGACCGTGATATCGACAGTAGAACATTGGAGAAAATTACAGAGGAGGTACGATATTGTATATTTCTCATGATTTTTTGGTTTGTTTGGTTGTATTTATGGGTTTTTTTATCCAATTTTAACGCATTTTTGATGCTTCTACAGAGTATTGGTGACATATAGGGATCACTTTGCTTCTCTGAGGCCCGCATGGAAGATCGGGAAACTGAATGTGTTTCCCTCATTAAATAAAGTCATTAACTTTACTTACTTACTTTGTAGAGATTAAAGATTAAAATAGAAAACTGTTTGTACAGATCTATCACTGCTGCTACACAAGAGCTGCAACATGCAATTGGCTATCATGAGGCAACACTTGATCACAGATCGGTCTTTTTAGTCATATTGCGGTTGCTTCACCTAACAGGCATACCTTGATAATAAACCAGTTAGCACCAATTTTTCGCAAATGACCGACCGTTACTCCCACATGATTTCTGAATCATTGTTGAGAGACAAGTGACCATTAGACTCAATGTTCTAGGTCAATTATAGCAAAGAAAATTTGCCTCGCTCATGTATCTTACCACAAATTCCTCAATTAAGAATTTAATCATCTCCATACTGAGCAGACCGACTATTCAAGATTTTATATCAAAGCTAAAACAGATGAAATTAAGCTTAAATATTAGAGAAGATAAACTTTGAACTATAGATTTTTAAAAAGTTCTACTGACTAAAACAGTTCTCTATTTTCTTTAGGCTATGGAGAGAGGTTTAGCATTGACACCAGCTAGATACCTAGAGCATGAGGAACATAATCTCCCACCACCAAGGTAAATATCAATCTGATACATGTCTTATCTTATGCCTTTTTACGTTCATTTTGGAAAATACATCAAGTTATCTACAAGAAATATGTTTAGGAATCTTTCCTTTACACTTTGACATAAGGTCTACTATGGTTGCTTTGCATAGATTGATAGAATTCATTTCAAACATGGTCCTGATTTTATTACAAACAGTGTTTTTAAAGAATTTGATGCAATCTGATAAGCCTGTGGCTTGATATGTAGTCTTTCACATTTATACAAATGTGTTTATTTTGTTGTTTGGTGCAGGCTATTATTTCTTCACGAACAAAGTTTGAGTGAGGAATGTACAATATACATATGAGCAAATGTTGAGAATTTTATAAGAATGATATGGATGGGATGAAATAGGTCAATCAAATGATGTTAGTTTATTATCGTGTGTTATTATTTTCAGTATAAGAATAGCAGTGAACTTGAAGTTGACAGACGAGGATATTGATAAATGTATGACTATATTGACAGAATCCTGTCATGCTGTTCTCTCAAAGAGGTAAAGTTTGATTCTTTTTTCTCCTATCTTTTGTATCACATATCAGATGTTTTAGAATAGTATAAGTTATTCAAGAATGGGTAATTTATATCATTTTCAATCTCTCAGATTTCTACAAACAATGTATAGGATGTAATTATGGTTTGTCAAATCATTATGAATATGACCTACTTCAAAGGAAGCTAGGTATATTGTTACACATATTTTGGTCCACCTGTCTGTAGAGTAAATCTTGCCACGTCTATATTTAGAAAACGCTTTGGACTACAGTCCTCAGATCTATCAGATTTAGTTTGATTAACTCATAGGTCAAGGTCATAAATAAATGGTTGACATTTCTTAACTTCCTATTATGTCTGAAGTATTGAATGGAAATGGGCCAGATGTCTTTCACCATCATTTGAGTTTAAAAGATGAAATACTGCTTTAAGATAAAATATTTGTAAGTTAAAACTGAATACAATTTTTTTTAGATCAGTCCTTGATCAGAAAAGTGTGTCATCTTTGTTGAAAGGGTTAGTTATTTTATTTATGCACTAGATTTTTATTATGACATATATATTATGAAGTTTTGTGAATTTTTAAATTTCAGTTCATAATGTCCTGTGATAGCAGTATTTTACCAAGAAAACCAGGCATGCCAAAATAGTTGGAAGTCGAACATTTTTATACACCATGATCAAATAGTGATACAAGGATATTCCATGCAACACAAAAAAACAATTACAAAAGTTCATAAATGCTCAAAACTGTTTTTTACTCCTATTTTCTAATTGTGTACGTTTTGTTACATTGTGTTGTGTATTTATACTTTTGTATCTTTTCACATTTTAAGTTAATAATTCCAGCATTAAATTTTTTTCCGTATTTTTGTTTATTGTCCATCTACAGTATGGACTTTCTTTAGGACAGTTATTCATTGATACTTTCTTAACTGAGTATTTGGACCCCCCCCCATGCTGTTTGCTTGGATCTTGTAAGTACCTGGAGGGGCATCTGAGGTCTCCCTCCACCAGGAAAGCTGGATTATGTATAACAGTGTTAATTTGACTTGAAACACAACCAAATGTGTACATGTGTGTAAGAGATCCTTGTTCCATGTACAAGATTATGAACTCGTGAAAATATTATTTGATTATAAAAGACAGTATACCAAAATACAGTATTCATTATTTAGATTTTTCTTACCAACATAGAGAAATGCATAATATAATAAAGTGGGAAATAGATTTTTTTTATGCCTGGAAGAGATTTTTTGGTTGTATTCGTTACAAAGTCATATTTTTTTAATAATAATGGGAGGGGGATAAAGATAACTACTTGCTAATATGTTAGCCAGAATACTTTTTTGTTTGCTCTTCAAACCAAAATTACTTAAAACAGTTTTAAAAAAATTTTTTATTTAATTGTTTGCAAAGTTGTGGTCCCTTGTTTGAACTTCTTTCCATTGGATAAATAGTATTTGCTGTAATGAAATATAAGGTAATTTTTTTGACAATTGTTGTAATAAATTTGCATTTTTTACTTTTAATTTTTAAATAAGAAGGTTTGACAGATTTATTGGCCGGTTTTGTATTGTTTATGAAAATATCATCTTAATTTTTAAGGGTGTATTTTGTTCTTGATGTGTATTTAAAGTGTCGATGAAACCCGTAATGTTGTGAAAATGTGCATTGTTATGAATTTGTTTTTTTATCAAATTCATATAATCATTTTGATTAACTTTTTATTTTACGTGAAGTGTTGATTTCATTAACATTTAATTTATATACCTGCCACATTTATTAGTATCATCTCATGTATACCATATTAAATTATATTACACAAAAATACATAAGAATATATCATAAGGTGTAATTGAATTTATTGGGGAAGAAATAATAGATAATTGTTCATGTTTTAGAGGGTATAGTTTACTATATTTATATTTAATGCATTGTACAATGTATATTTATTGTGATATATCCTTAAAGTTAAATTTTTATATTCTTATAAAATGTGCATGTTTGATCGGTAAATGCCTGGATTATTAGTTGTGTTTGTAGGTCAAAGGTCGAGGTCATATGGCTTTTGAAATGAAATGTGACTTATATTGAGATAGAGAGTGGTTTCTTCTAAGATAGAAAGTGGCATCCACTGAGCTTAAAAGCAACTTACACTGAGAAAAAAGGTGGTTTGTGCTGAATTAATAGTGAATTCTTTCATATTTTTTTGGGTCAAAATTTAGTTTTTTGTTTGATTTTTGTTTTGAAGACGAATAGATAATTTGTTTTGAAGATGAATCGATAATTTGTTTTGAACATGAATAGATAATTATGAAGGATTCTCTTTCATTTTTATAAAGATGTTAAATGGAGCTAATGCCTTTATAGAACAAATGAGTTTAAAGAACAAATGAGTTTAAAGAACAAATGCCTTTATAGAACAAATGAGTTTAAAGAACAAATGAGTTTAAAGAACAAATGAGTTTAAAGAACAAATCATTTTGAATTAACTGTACATACGAATATGTACAAGAAAAAAAGCAATTATAAGGGTACTTGATAGGCAATATGTACACAGTAATGTATGTACATGTATGTCACAATATGTGTAAATGGATTGGGTTTTTGTTGGTTTTTTTTCAGTTGTTGATGTTCCAAATTGTGGTAAGCTTGATGCCTTAAATAATTATTTTTTGTCATGGAGTCCAGACTTAGCTAGGCTTTAGGCTTTGTGTTCGCTGTAAATAATAGCATGGAAAGATTTTTTTCTTTGGTCATAGAAAATATGTGTATGTGTCATTCAAGGTGAAAGAATGTATGAAAGATGTTAAATGTAAATATTATACAAAAATGTATACATGTATATTATTTTACTTTTTGTTTGTACTATAGCCCTTTTTTATTAGTGTATCTTTTCAATAATCATCATATATATTTATATTTAAAAATGGAGTCAAAATGGAATCAAGAGATATTTATTAGTAAATATTATAGACTTACAATTTCACCGTGATTTTTTTGTTAAGGAATTTCCTTTACTGGTACAAGATTATTATTGTTGTTGGTGTAGAATACCAGACTTTAGCCTGCTTATGGTAACTGAATTTACCCTTGTACCTGTGTTGACCAAGATTAACCAGCGTATCGGTGCCATCTTATCACATGTATCAAGATCTTCACTGTTTGCTATTCAATCAGTACTTATTTGTAATTTTTCACAAGATATAGTTTTGTCCAGATTAAAAGATGGACAAATCCATGTAAAAGATTTTACATGGTGGGGGTTGATTAGTTTTGAATCAATGATAAAATGTATAAATAGTAACATGAACTGGCTACAGCAAATAATGTTTAAAAGAAATTCAACAGTAGTTATATTCGTTTTATGGGGATACTTAAAAGAAAGGAAAGATACAAAAACAAAATGTTATTATTTTTGTAATGAGAAATGCATTGAATTCTGCTCACTTTTTATCCTTTCATCCAACAACTTTACACATTAAGTTAAAAAGACAGAAAAAAAAACAAAAAAACTTTGACAAGTTTTCAATGCCACTGCCTTAGAAGATGGTCTAAAAAGAAAACTACACAAAAGAAAGGAGCAAGAGAAAACAAAAGGTAGTTAATCTCAACAATGTTGAACAAATGCTAAGACCTTCACACAAAAGTTTTACATTGTATTGTGATATACTTAAAAATAAGAACAAATATTTTGTATGCAAATATTTTTTTACATCTTGAATCAATGAATGTTTTAATTTTGTGTGGAAATATTTGTCGTTTTCCTGTTGCATTTTGTTTTTTTCTTTTTGCTTGATCTCAATGTCTAAAATTTAATAATAACCAGTTAATCTTGTTGCATTCCATCTTAATTATTAACACCAAATATTACATCTTGAGTTTCATTAGTTATATCTGTAGTGTAATGCTAGTCTTGATTAACACATTATAATCTTTTATAATCTTTCATTATTTGTGTTATAAGATTTTTTATGTTACCTGTACATGGAGCATAAATATAGTTGCCAATATGTTTTACCTACTTTCCATCACTATAACTGTTACAATTGTGGCACATTCTTTTATAGAGTGATATATCTAAGATATTTGGTCTGTGTGTTACTTTTGGGTTTCAGTGTGATTGTGTCAAGGTCTTCTGAGACTAAAATTAGAGAATTTATTGTGTCAAGGTCATCTGAGACTAAAATTAAAGACTTTATTGTGTCAAGGTCATCTGAGACTAAAATTAAAGAATTTATTGTGTCAAGGTCATCTGAGACTAAAATTAAAGAATTTATTGTGTCAAGGTCATCTGAGACTAAAATTAGATAATTTATTGTGTCAAGGTCATCTGAGACTAAAATTAGATAATTTATTGTGTCAAGGTCATCTGAGACTAAAATTAGATAATTTATTGTGTCAAGGTCATCTGAGACTAAAATTAAAGAATTTATTGTGTCAAGGTCATCTGAGACTAAAATTAGATAATTTATTGTGTCAAGGTCATCTGAGACTAAAATTAGATAATTTATTGTGTCAAGGTCATCTGAGACTAAAATTAAAGAATTTATTGTGTCAAGGTCATCTGAGACTAAAATTAGATAATTTATTGTGTCAAGGTCATCTGAGACTAAAATTAAAGAATTTATTGTGTCAAGGTCATCTGAGACTAAAATTAGAGAATTTATTGTGTCAAGGTCATCTGAGACTAAAATTGAAGAATTTATTGTGTCAAGGTCATCTGAGATTAAAATTAGAGAATTTATTGTGTCAAGGTCTTCTGAGACTAAAATTAAAGAATTTATTGTGTCAAGGTCATCTGAGACTAAAATTAGATAATTTATTGTGTCAAGGTCATCTGAGACTAAAATTAGATAATTTATTGTGTCAAGGTCATCTGAGACGCTATAGGTTATTATCTCCATCTAATGTTCATAACTATTAAAACTTAACAAGATTTATTAGAGGTTCCTGTTTAACCAACGCTACTTTTATTGTGACTGGATATAGTTCATGTAGTTGTTGCTGAAATCTGCAGAATTTTCAAAAGTAATATATCTTTTGAAAAATATAGCATTTTTTAAAAATAAATAAAGATCTTCAACATTTTGAGTTTGAACAAAAAAAAATGTATTTATTACTACATGTATTGTATTGTGTGGCATCAAATAATTTTTTCATTTTAAATTATTTAAAGATTAAATATAAATTGAGATGGTCCGAGTTTTGATATTTGATATGAATGGTAAATAAATGTGTTTTGAGTAGTTCTTATAGACCAAAGAATGAGTTTAAATGATGACTGGATGTCTTTTAGTTTGTTTCAGGATATAATCGTAATTTTCTATAACTTTGTAAGTTATTACAATCATATAAATTTTTTATACTTTTTTATTCAAAATAATAAAAATTTTTATGAATGCATTGTCCAAAAATTAAATTTTTATGGTTTTTTGATTTTTAAAAGGAAATCCTTATAGGTCCAAAAGCTTATAAATGAAGAAAAAATTTTTACATAAAATCATTTCAGGACTTAAAAGGAAAAAATTTTTGTAAAAGACAAAAAAATAGAAAATAATTAAAAATTAAAAATTTAAAAATTAAATTTTTGTGGGAATTTCACAGCCCTATGAAATTAAAAGGGGTTTAAAAAATTTTTTTGGGGTCTTTTTGGCACCCGTAAAAAAGGTTTTTTCAGGAAAAACTGAAGGAAGGAAAGAATAAAATTTTGGGAAAACAAGTCATAATGCAGGTGTACATCAAATGGTACACAAATCTCACAAAAAAATTAAAAAATTCTAGTCCTTTCCTGTCAAAAAAACCTCAGTGGAGTCCCTTTAACCCTTACCTAATGAATTTATGTTATGAACT